TGCGTGTGAGGAGACGAGCAGCGGAGTTTTGAATGTATTGAAGTTTCTTGAGTGATTTGGATGGTGAACCATAGAGGAGACTATTGCAATAGTCTAATCTGGAGGTGATGAATGCGTGGGTGAGGGTCTCGGCAGCTGAGAATGAGAGTGATGGGCGGAGGCGGGCAATGTTTCTGAGGTGGAAAAAGGCTGTTTTGGTGATTTGTTTAATGTGTTTGTCGTAGGAGAGGGTTTGGTTGAAGATGACACCAAGGTTACGGATGTGGGGGGAAGGGAGCACTGTGGAGCCATCGATGGTTAGGGAGAAGTTGTTGGTGGATTTGATGAGGGATTTGGGGCCGATGATAATGACTCCTGATTTGTCGCAGTTGAGTTTGAGAAAGTTGGTTTGAAGCCAGGATTTTATTTCTGTGATGCAGTCAGTGAGGATTGAGTGAGTGGCAGGAGTGATGACTTTGGTGGCGATGTGGAGCTGGATGTCGTCGGCAAAGCAGTGAAACTGGAGTCCATGGCGGCGGATGATGTGACTAAGGGGGAGCATGTACATGATGAAGAGGAGGAGATCTAGTACAGAACCTTGGGGAACACCTTGGGAGAGAGGAGGATTGGGGGATTTGCAGTGGTTGATGCTGATGAACTGGTATCTGTCAGAGAGGTATGATTTGAGGCAGGAGAGTGCAGTGCCGGTGATGTTGAATGTGGTTTCAAGGCGGGAGAGAAGGATGGAATGGTTGATGGTGTCAGGTCCAGTAGGATGAGGATGTTGAGGTTTCCGGCATCAGAGGAGAGGAGAAGGTCGTTGGTGATCTTGAGGAGAGCTGTTTCGGTGCTGTGGTGGGAACGGAAACCAGATTGGAATGATTCATAGAGGTCATTGGCAGAGAGGTGGATTTTGAGTTGTGAAGCAACAGCATGTTCCAGAAGTTGTTTGGGATGTCGGGATTGAGTCCAGGTTTTTTTAAAACAGCAGCAAGTTTGAGGGAGGAGGAGTTAACTGTTGAGATGATGAGTGGGGATAGGGTGGGAAGGCAGGCCTTGACAAGACTGGTGGGGATGGGGTCCAGAAGGCAGGTGGAGGTTTTCATTCCCGTGATGAGGTCGGAGAGCTCTGCAGGGGAGACAGGGGAGAACTGGGATAGTTGCTGAGAGGTTAAGGTGGGGGAAGGGAAAGAAGGCGGGGCAGGTAAAAGAGGTGCCAGGTTGTTGTAGATGGTGTCTATTTTTGTTTGGAAGAATGACAGGAAGGAGGTGCATTTGTCTGCTGTGAAGGATTGGGAACCGTTGTCCAAAGGGTTGAGGAGTTTGTTGATGGTGGAGAATAGTGATTTGGGGCTCCTGGAGCCAGACTGTATGAGATGGGAGTAGTAGGTGGATCGGGCGTGGGAGAGGGCATCTTTGTATTGTTGGAGGTGATCTTTGTAGGCTTGAGCGTGTACAGTGAGTCCGTTTTGTTGCGGAATCTTTCCAGTTGACGGGCATGGGTTTTCATGTGACGGAGGTCTGGAGTGAACCAGGGAGCAGAGTGGGTGAAGAAGATTGTTTTGGTTTTAATTGGTGCGTGCTGGTCGAGGCAGGAGGAGAGAGTGTGGTTGTAGTAGTCGGTGAGGTCAGAGGGAGCGGTGAGGTCACAGGGAGGGAAGGCAGACATTTTGTCCATGAGGGCAGATGATAGAGCGGAAGGAGAGATAGTGTTGAGTTTGCGGAAGTGGATTGAGCGTTTTTGTTTTGGCAGGGGGGTGGGAATGTCAATGTTTATGTTAATAGCTAGGTGGTCGGAGATGGTAAGATCCATGCCTGAGAGGTGATTTATGGAGAGACCAGTGGAACAGACTAGATCCAGGATGTGACCGCGGTTGTGGGTGGGGAAGTTGACATGTTGAGTTAAGTTGAAGCAGTTCAGTATTTTGATGAATTCAGTGGTTATTGTTGAGTTTGTGGAGTCCAAGTGTATGTTAAAATCACCAAGGAGGAGGATGGAGGGAGAGAGAGCACAAAGCTGTGTCAGGAAATGAGAGGAGTCGGAGAGGAATGATGGGTTAGGTTTGGGAGGGCGGTAGACAACAGCCATGACCAGCTGTGTGGTGCCAGAGTGTTTAAAAGCCAGTGATTCAAATGAGGGAGCAGGAGGAAGGGAGATGAGGCTATTTTTATGTCCTGTCTGTGTATGACTGCAATGCTGCCACCTCAGCCCTCAGTGCGTGGTCTGTCTATGTATGTGTATCCATTAGGTGTGGTCAGGTTAAGTGAGAGATAATCCAGGGGCTGTTGCCAAGTTTCAGTGAGACAGAGGAAGTCCAGTTTATTGTCCAGTATGAATTCATTGAGAATGTCAATTTTGTTGTTAAGAGACCGGGTGTTAAACAGAGTGAATTTCATCTGGTTTTGCATGGTGTTAATGTCCAGGGTAGCTCGAGGCAGGGCTCATAGACAGGGAGAGCGTGTCTGCTCGTTGTTGTGATGATGACGAAGTGGGAGTGTGTCAGTCCGCTCAGCTGACCAGAGTGATGGGATGGAGTGGCCATGCTGGCTAGACCGGGAGTAAACAAACTTGCGACGGAAACTTCTGTGGATGTATCTGGGTCGTTGTAGTCGTCCAATGGTTTTAATGGCGGAGATGCATGCAGGAGTGGAGTTATTGTTGAGTTTGAGCAGTTGTGAGACCGAGTACTTCACTGCCATACAAGCCGGTGATGTTGGTTCGCTAATTCTGGAGTTGGTAGCCGCAGGCTTGTCAACCAGAGTAACAGGCAAGTCAGGGTGATCCACAGCATAGCAGTCAGTGGGGCTGAAGGGGTGCCGAGTGAAGGATGTCCAGACGTAGAGGATGACTGGGTGGAGGCGGAAAGTAGAAGACAGGAGGCAGCCGAGTCGGTTGCTAACGATTGCTGCATTAGCCTCAGTGACCGGAGCGAAGGCTAGCTAGGCTAGCCGCGGGAGCGGACTAGCAGCTAGCTTGTGGAGAACGGCAGTTTTTCCAGCAAAGACTGAGAACAGCGGGCCGATAGAGTGTCCAGGAAGGGGCTGACAGTAGTGGTGGATCAGCCGGTTTTGTCAACTACCAGAGGATCTGGTAGTCGGGTGCCGAAGGTCTGGAGCCGGCGTTGACAGGTGACGAAGACAGGTAGGCTATGTGAACGCTCTAAAGAAGCTATAAAGTGAGATTTAACCTTCAGGATTAAACTGAGGTTAAAGCATAAGACACAAGAGACGGAGGGATAGGTCAAAGTAATACAGCAATAATCAAGAGTAGTCAACACTTAGGCTTAGCTGGAGAAGCGGCGAACAAACACGCCAGCATCCTCTCCAACCAGCAACCAGTGGACAGCGACCAGTGGACAGCCAACTTGATAACAATGCTGGTTAAATTCATTTAAACAGTTGTTTTAACCTGCATCTTAGTTAAGCTATTGGTTAAAAAGAATACAGCTATGGGAATCACAGAATTTGACAAAAATAGATTGGACCTAATGGTTGTGTCGTTATAACTGTAAAGGATCATTCCAGTGACTGAAACACATCTGAAAGGGGGATATATGAAGCATATTATGTATGATAAATCCATTAAATTTCAAGCTGGCGTAAACACCATCCATCACATGCTGATGTAGGTTGAGTGAAAACTTTGTTCCTTGTTCTGCTGTCGACCAAGAGAAAAGTTCAGGGGATCATAAACACCTGTACAAAGATTGTACGTCCATATGCAGTCGTTAAAGAAATGTTTTGGTAAAAGTTAACACCTAGCTAGATGGCAGATAGACCGACATTGGCATCCTTGGAGGTCATGCTTCCAGCCTTTATAACCCGTTAAAAGCCTTTGCGGAACTAAAGGTAAAGCCATGAAACAGACAAACACGTTATCTGTCAATAGTTTCACTCACATTTTCCTCTAAAGCATTATTTCCATTCTATTAAACCCTCCGTGTAAATCAGAACATGATATTAAAGGCAAACAACACAAACCAAACTACCATGGGGGAAAACTTCAGTTCTGCACCATTTCCTCTCGTTTCCCAAATGTGTCCCATCCAATTTCTCTCTATGACTTTCCTGAACTGGTTCCCATACTGAGAGCATGTTGGCCTCAGTGGAAATGACAGGCCAGTTTAGTTTCCTACTGCTTCTCTTCGAAAGATTTATGCTCTTATATGAGGCCACCTACATACACAGTACACTGACTCTATAAAGTATTTTCTCCAGCATAAACACAACCTACATAGAAGAGGGGAACAACATTTGAAAGGGGTTGTTGAATCGAACCGGTTTAGTTCTGCAAGACAAAATAACTGTTACCTACGAAAGAAACTGGGTTCTCAGTGTATACCTCCAGTTGGTGCGGAGGTTTACCATGGTCTTCTGAGATGTGATCAATTTGTATTCCCACCACACACAGCTGTACCTAGCCAGTCAGCTAGTCTGAAGTAGGATCAAACAGCATGGCACCTAGTTTTAATGTGTAAGTGTTTTGATCTAATGCATTCAATATCAGCACAGAGGTAGCTACACCCAGTGTGTGGATGTGTCTTCATGTGAGTCTTCTTCACGCGGTAACAAACAGATCTTTGCCATGCCAGGTGAATAAGCAAGAACATTTTTGTCCATAATGTCTCTGTGTGTTTCTTTCTTTTTTTTCTGCCCTTTCTCCCTCCATCCTCTGCCCTCCACTCAGTGAAGCCGATCTAACTGACTGGAGCGCTTTCCCCGAGCAGACATGAAAAGCCACGGCTATTACAGCCAAGTCATGCTCAGTTTTATATTTAACAGTGCGGGTAAAGGCGGATGGTGGGGGAGAATGAGTGTTGGGGAGGGGCAGAGGGGACTTCAAAGCATGCTTTCAGAATGGGATTTTCAGCTTAAATCCACATAAGGAAAAAACTGTCATCACTGGGAGCCGGCATTATTTTTGTCTTCCAAAAGGAGCCCTCGCCTCGGCCATTACAACAATACAAACTATGCATGTAGATGTTTGTGCACGTACCAATGACTTTTACTGTGAAGCGTACCTCTTTGCTCTGAGCAAGCTGTGGGCCCTGATCATCGGCCGAGGTGCTGTTCCTCCCAAAGCTTGACTTGAAAATCTACAGAGATAAAATAGAGAGATTAGGATGTCTGAGAAGTTCAAAGGTAGCACTTTGTCTAGGTAACAAAAAATGAACCACGAGGGGAGCCCATGATCAACTTACTGGAGACAAGGGAATGGGCTTCTCCCGCAAATACCTGGGGTTTTCAATCTGTAAAGAGTAAACAGAAAACCTTTAGTACACTCTTTCTGTTCCTCCTCTCCTAACAAAGCCATACCACCGCCAGATTCTAACTTCCACCCTCACTTTGTCATAAACAATGTGGGGAGCACATCAAAAAGCCTCGTTCTGTAGATGGAGCCTTTTCTGTCAACTCTTGTCTGTTTAGAAAGACAGAATGCGTCGGGATACATCAAGGCATTTGTGCGTGTGGCCGGCTTGTTTCCGCTCTCAGCCCCTCTTTGCTGTCTCGACACGGCCCTTTTGTCAACACTCAGGACCGCTAATCTGTAAGCTATTCCCGGTCCGTTTAATGTCAGATGCAGACAAATGTGTATACATACTTGCCAAACACTAACACGACATGTTCTTTGATTATTGTTTGAAACACGAGACAGAAAAAAAAAAAAAGGTTCCCTAAGCTACCAAAAGGTCATAGTTAAAGTGACTTTGCAGCATGACATCAATATAGCTCACTCACTGTGACACAAACTGCAACAAAAAAAAAACAGAGAATCTCTGTGTTGACAACCTGCTATTTTCTCTCCACAATTTGACGTTTGTTTATGACCCCGTTATTTTCTTGTGAACTCAGACTCTCATGCAGCGTTTTTCTGTCTCTCTCTCATGCACTGGGGCTGTCTGTAGGGGCTGCCAACTAGTCGCAAGATCACGGCCTTTCAAAGCAGCAGAGCTGGCTTTGGAGATGACAGCGCTGACGCACAGTAAACAGTTCTGTTGCTAATCTCTTTAACATGAGGATGGAGGAGGAGGAGAACAAGGAGGAAGAGTAGGAGGAAGAAGAGGACAGGGAGGAGGGTAGTGTAGGACTCATATGGTGGTATAAATTTAGTATATAATATTGCGCGGTGGCATAAAGGCACTAAAGCAGAATGAATGAGGGATGAGAGAACAGGACCTGAAAGGAGCTCACAGCTTGGGACTAAAATAGTTACAGCTACTGTATGAGGATAATGTCACATCTGTTGCTTTAGGGTGAGCCAGTGACAGGTGAAACAGATGAAAGTAGCTCTGCCTCCCCACTGAGTCCGTATGACGCAGATAAAAAGCAGGTCAGGGGTTTTGTTGGATGACAGACTGTAAACTCTAAACTACAACTAAGGAGACATCCAGCTTCCCTACATTAGATTGATTGTGCAGAGCAGCATCAATGGAGCGTGCCATGGTGTGTGAGGAATTTCCTCTTAAAAAATTTGGCACAAGCTTTCAAAAAAGGATCCATGTTCACCAAGCGATGAACCAATCAATATTCTTCTTAACTTGTGCCCAAGCTGAAAACAAGAATGATTTTTCTTTTTATACCCACAGACAGCCAGTCTTACAAACCGACTGATCACGGCCCACAGGGCAAGGAAGACATGCAGTCTAAATGCTGTGGTGAAATACTGGCATATAGTGTGGTACTAAACTTGGACTGTGTGCGGACTTAATGCTGCATGCCCACACACATGCTCCTGCGTGTGCATGTTTGTCCAGCCTCAACATTTGGCACAGCATTCTGTTTCTTTAGAACTTGACAAGGATGGATAGACAAACACAGAAGAGGAACAACACTCCACATCACAAGGCCTGGCTCTCCAGCCAAACAAACACACAGTGATTGATGGTTTCCTAGTTTTGGGTAAGTGTTGAGCAAGCCAATCAGCACAGTCACCCAACCACAGACCGTGGATGGCCAACTTGTAGGGGATACTACTGAACTGTTTTTGTTTTTTTTAAGGGGAAAAGGACAAATCTTTATGCAATATGAGCAAACCTGCATTGTTTAATGTGCAGCATTAAACTACACTGTAATACTTAATTCCCTCTGTGATAATACTGAAGTTGCTCCAATACATAATGCACAGACTTAATAAAGATGAAACAGTTGGTGGTCCAGCTGACTCAGGTTCTGTGTCTCTTTGAGGAACTCTTATCCCAGTTTGAAGCAATCTGCTGTCCACCATGCCGACTACACTAACTTTTATTACATTAGAGGTGAAATGAACAAACTGATATGGACTGCTACAGAACTTCTAAGGCAAAGCAAAAGATGTTCCAGATATAGAAATTAGATTTGTAGGAGCAAAGCGCTTTGAAGCAGTGCATCTATAAAACTTCAGTAAACTTGAAGAGGGTTTGCGTGTGTTTGTTTGTGAAGAAAAACATCTGTTGATTTGAAAGCTGCAGGCCTGTGAGAGCGTTGCCAAGCAATGCCTCTTATCAGCGTCTCAACACAGGGGAGTGCAGAGCGGAGCGGTGCACGGCTTCACGTCTGCTGATAGATACCTCAGATTACCCCTGTATCCAAAGAGAAAGAGAGAGGGAGCGGAACACGGAGAGAGTGGGGAAAAAGATAAATGGACAGACAGACAGACAGAGGAAGAGTCATAAGAAAGACTGGTAGAACAGAGAGAAAGAGTTCCAAGAAAGAGAAGAACAAACTGATAGAAAAGCATGTGATGTAACTGGGAGAAAGGACAGAGGCGACAAGCAAACTGAGAAGAAGAAAAAGAGACTCATGGTCATGCAGGTGAGGGGTATAAGGGATAAATAAGGGAATAAAAAACATGAGGGCAGAGTGCTTATCAGGCCCTGGCCTGGTGCACTCCAGACACAAGAGATAAGAGAGTTGTGCAAATGCTAAGTTTACACAACCCTTCTTTTGCTCCTCATCCTACCCTCACGTCCTACAATAGCAGTGATCTGCCAAGAGGAAGTGGTTTCAAGAGGACACGTGGAAAGGGCTTTTATACTCCTTTTTTTTAGCAGTGTGGCCAAGTCAGTATCATTGCACTAGTGATTTACTCGTGAGCTAAGGCATTCACTGTCACTGACTGCAGATGAGCTGCAGCATGTTGACAGCTGCATGTCTGTAAGAAGCTCAAGGCATGCCCCTGGACTCACCCCAAGGTTCCAGCTGTTGAGACGAGCCTCCAGGTCACTGTCATCGCGAGACATATCTGTCTTCAGCCCCCCATCCACCTGAGGAGGGAAAAAAAGGGGAGGCAAAGAGTTCCTCAGTAACAGAGACAACATGGAAATGAAGGGGTGAAGGTGTTATAAATTAGAGAGGGGAATTTAAATGATTCCTTTGATTGGCAGTTTGGCCCGAGGATGCAAACAGCTGACAATGATGGAGGTTTTCATTTTGACACAATGTAATTCCTCTCTTGGCAACAACAACAACGTTCTTTAAAAGCTCACAGACATACAGTACACCCACATGTGTTCTCCTCCCATACTAACAGCATTCAACTCCCTCGTTATCTCCATCTCTCCACCCTTTGCTCCCCTCACTCTCCGCCCTCTCACATACAGCGCTCCAGATGTTTGGCAGTTCCACATCATTTCCGTCACGCAGTAAATTCCACACGAGGGGCATATGGAGCTACGCTGCCTGTCGTCTTTGTTTTCCCCAGCCTTTTGTTACGACGGGCCTCCGGATTTGTTTTATGCAGTATAATTCGAATGCTTCCAGGGGTTCTGTTGATACAAGATCAGTTTACTCAAGTCCAGGTCGGGCAGCGAGGTTGGAATAAGGGAAATATCTAATAAAGTTGAGAGAGAGAGATAGAAAGGAGAGATGTTGTTGAATTTGATTAGGATCTGGTGGAGTGTGGACTTTGGGTGCACCTCAGTGGAACTGAACCGACACAGAGAAATCGCTCAGGATTGAATGCCCGTTCTGATTAAAAAGGCATTAAGGTCTCCAGAGCCACACCCTCAAACAAACAGAGTAAACGTTTCATTTCTATATCCAGGAATGCTGAGTATGCCGGTCATTGGCCTCTCAAAGCAGTGTGTGTATCCCACCAGGATTCAGACTCTTTTGTTGAACACTAATACGCACAATGAGCTTCAAATGCTTTTGGCCGCAGATGTACTCACAGTTGTGCAAACGGCTCTTAGCATGGACACAGAGTCCATTCAAGATGATGTGATGAGAGCTTTTCATTAAAAGGCCTGGAACATTTCTGTTAATCAACTTCCTTAAAATGAGCGACTTACATGAACAGACACATCTGAGATAAAGACATGGCAGATTTAAATGTGTGATCTTTCTTAGTTTATACTCTAAATAAATATTCACTTAAGTTTTTTATTTCTTTTCATTACTCTGTTAGTTTTTCTCTGCATTAATTTTGAATGTTCTTCAAAACTAGATCTTTTTAAAAAAGATTTTGAGGGACTTAAAGGACTTGTAATTATTCCTTCAATTATCTGAGGTAGAGAAAGTGGACCTTTTGTTAACATCTATAAAATCTAATACAACAGTGCTGCAATAAATAGTTAATTAAGATGGCTATTTATGTTCAGTGTTCATTTGAAAAGTTTCAGAGAGGTGTTCATTTTGCTTAAGGGGCGGCTGTAGCTCAGTTGGTAGAGTCGGTTGTGTCTCAACCAGAAGCTCCTGCAGCAATGGGTCCATGTGTCCTTGTGTCCCCGTTGGGGGAGTGTGAATGTGTATAAATGGGATTAGACACTTCTGATGGTCACTTTACATAGAAACCTCTGCCATCAGTGTGTGAATGTTTAGGTGTGACCGTGGTGTAAAAAGCGCTTTGAGTAGTCAGAACACGAGATAAGCGCCATACAAGCTCAAGTCCATTTACCATTTACTTAATAATTTTCCAGAAGGCTGTTTAAAAAGGAATTCAATAACATTAGACACAATAATAGAAATAGCTCTGGCATTAAATGAATTTGATTTCCTAGCATCACTTTCGCCCTCTAAATAAATTTTAAGTTAAATCAGCAACCCCTATAAATCAGTTCATAATAACTCTCATAAAAGTGACTTCAAGCTCGGTGCATTTTAAATGCTGGCAGCTGAGGGCATATTATTGTTCACCATGCTGTGATCACAATTATTAGCTACATTCTTGTTGCTTTAAACAGCAGCTAATAAGTTCAGGGAATTTCCTCTGACTTCACGGGGAACTTTGTTCAGGAATTTCCAAATGGTTCCACATTAAAGAAGAAAGCAACACACTGGCTACTATTTGTATTGGCACCAGACGTTTGGCTGTTCAAACTTCAATGTGTCATCACCACTACCTTGCAGCGATGTATAAATGTGAAAAAGTCGGGCATGCTGAATCTAAAGTCAAAAGTGTGCATGGGGAGTCCAGAGGTGTGGCTGTGGTTCTGAAGTGTGGTGAACTAACCATCCGCGCATCATGTCTTGGTGATTGTTTGAGTGGACTGGAGGACGTGGGTTGGGATGGATTCTTTTCATCATACAGCCTTCTCCTGGAAGAGAGGGAAACAGAGAGAGAGAGGTGTGAGAGGTTAACTAACAGAATGTGTGTGTGTGTGTGTGTGTGTGTGTGTGTGTGTGTGTGTGTGTGTGTGTGTGTGTGTGTGTGTGTGTGTGTGTGTGTGTGTGTGTGTGTGTGTGTGTGTGTGTGTATGTCTCTGGAGTCTGCACTCATGTCTCTGTTTGCATATGAATGTGCTTGCATAGGCAGCCTGCCTCGCTATTTGCACAGATCAACATCTGGCATTAGTTGCACGCTTTGTGGTCTGCATTTCATCTCATCTTAACAATAAACGTCTCTGCAATGCATCAGTCTGTATCCATGAACAGCCCACAAGGCAGCAGTCTACGGCTTGTACAATCCTTTTATAATCACACATCTCGATCACTGTCTCTCATCGTGTCCATCATGGTCTGAACGAGGCGCTTAACTGTGAACTGCTTATATTCATTGGCACGCTTACCCAAGCACACCTCTCATTCTCACAAGAAGGCATAACTGAGCTCACTATCTCATTAAGCACAGGCACATGAGGCGCTAATGGCTCTCTAATGCTAATTGAATGAAGATGTCAGAGAAGAGTGGAAGATGTAGGACAACAATGGAGAGGGAACTAAACTGCTGTCATCTAATAGAAACATCAAATTATGTTCTAGAGGGCACTGTTTCACACTCTCTACTCAGCCTTCGGGCGCTCTTTCCCTCCAATGTACTTTTTTTTAAATGCAATCCCGGCATTGAGAATGTTGAATCTCATTTGTCACAGGCAGAGATGCAGAGATCTCTCAGGGAAATGAGCACTGTTGCTGTGTGGTTTAAGCAAAGACTGACGGATACAGAACAGACAGCAGAGTCATTTCTTAAGGAACAGGAATACAACAGTCATTTAGGTTTTTTTTGCAAGGCTGTATCGTATGTACACAAATAACAAATTTAAACAGCAAATGTTTGTCAAGATCACCCACAAACACATCAGGGAGAACATCTACAGCCAGATGTGTCTGCCTCCATCTCCTTTTACAACCTTTTTAAAATCAGCCAATCAGAGCAGCTCTTTAAGTTTCAGCTCTTCCTGTAATTTGTTCCAAGTGCAGCGAGCAGCAAACTGAAACACCTGAACTGAAAAACAACTGAAAAATATGGTCAATCATGGTAGATATTTTGGGCGGTAGTAGCTCAGTCTGTAGGGACTTGGGTTGGGAACCGGAGGGTTGCCGGTTCAAGTCCCGGTGCGGACAAAATATGGAAGTTGGTCTGGTAGCTGGCTGAGATGCCCTTGAGCAAGGCACCAAATCCCTACCCACCACCAGCTCAGGAACGCCGTCACTCTGACATCTCTCCATTAGTGCATGTCCATAGGATCCTGTTTGTGCATGTGTGTGTGTTGCATGACTTACAGAGTGTAAAAACAGAATTCAATCAATCAATAAAATAAATCTTAATCTTAATATTCAAAACCTGGAAAAAGAGGGAAAAAACGCTGACATACAGGTTGGGCATCAGCAAATATCTACACATTGAGAAGATCAAGTATACATACATTATTTTTTATAAACAGAGCATTTAGAGACACACGACTGTAGAGAGCATGGATTCCCATGAAGCTATTAAGAGAGAGGGAAAGGCTGGGGAAGTGTTAAAGAGTGCAATAAATGCATCTGATGAAAAAGTTATAAAATCAATGAGTACTCATGTTTTATAACCGTGATCTCAGTATCAATCAAAATAATCATCATCATGATTTTTGCCATAATTGAGCAGCCCTACATCACGTGTTCTCCCTAGTAGCTTGCTCAACAACCCACTCTTACATGTGATGATGATGAAAGGTGGTTTTTATTTGAGTGGTTACTTTTTTTTTTTTTTTTACTGTGAATGCTGTGTTTGAAAAATTATGAAACACATCAATACCTGGACCCTAACCCTTCAAAAGCAAGTGATGGATGCTCAGAAGAATCATCTCTAAGGTTCTTATTGAGCCAGTGTGAATGACTCGTGGGCTTTATCGTGGTTTATTCATTTCAAGACTGAGCCTGAAGAATTATTGTGTCAACTCTTTAAGCTGCACAGAGCTTTAGGCGCTGTTTACTAATATATGTAATGATTACATTGTTGACTGTAGATGTCTGTCGATTGGTGTTATGTCCTTTTATATACCAGGGAGTCTCTCTATGACATGCCAAGAAGGGTAATTAAAGTTCTACAAATGCATTAATTTCACAGCAGAACAATAGGACACGACGAGACTATATATAAGATTATACTGCTGGGATTTAATGATGGATTACTCATTTACAATTGGTTATGATCATAATATTCTCATACTACATGCAGACTTCTAATCCAATCAAACCTTCACTTTCACACTGCTTTGTCTATGCATGGTCAAACACATACACACACATGCACACACCTGTAAGCACATGCACAAAACACATGCAGCCATGAAACTTGGATAAGGGGGCCAAGCTTTGCAATCTTGGGCCTCTAAGTCAACAGGTGGATGAGGATAATTGAATCAGATGTGTCTGGAGTCTGAGGCCCAGAGATCAAAGCAGTGGCAAGTCAGGCCAGGGCTACACACACCGGCAGACGCACAAACACACACACACACAGAGGAAAATGAGAACACCATGTAGAGCCTCAGAAGCTGCAGCCTGGCTGATTAAAGCAGCCTGACATCTATACCCCAGCCTGACCTCCAGGTGCAGAGGCAGAGGGCTTGGGTCTCAGCCTCGGGCACCCTCAGGAAAGCATGTCTGACCTTGGGACACAAACATCCTTCTGCTCCAGCACACCCACCATCATAACCCAACACCACCTGGAGGTAAGATCAGAGGAAACACTCCGGCCTGAGAGTCAGAGACGTGAGTCGTTTACACCAGCAACATGGCCAATGACTGCCACAGCAAGGACATTATTACGGTTAGCTTTTAAGTAGGAAAAAAAATGATGGAGGAGGAGGTGAAAGGGGGTTCAAAGTTTTCATATGAAGATGAAAAGCACACCGATGGTGGACTACAGTCAGAAGACACAACAATAATAATGATGATGGAAGAGAGCCTGGTGAAGTCACAAAAACAAAGCCTTGACTTAACTTCAGCAGTGAACCTGACACCAGCTGGTAACCAAGTCAGCAAGTTAAACACAACCCACACCGACTGATTCCTCCCTTTTGTCTCTATTATTAATACTCCTGTGAATACAAGGGGACATGCAAGAAGATTGAGTGGACATGGATGCTAATCACCAACGCAGTTTTGTATGATCTCTTGACCCTCACTGACTGCTCTCACTAAATGCTTTCCCACAGCATTCCTTTGCCTGAGTTTACACTGTAGACAAAGCAGTGGCTCTATCTTGTGGCTAAAGTAGGAATAGCAACGCCATAGCACATACATGTTGGAATTATTTCTAACTATGTTGGAATTTGCTCGGGGCATTTTGGAATAATGAGGTCAATTTATGGTTGTGCTAAACAACGCACAAGCACACAGATACTAAAGTGTAAAGAAAGAGTCACATCTCAATATGTAAAAAAAGAAAAAGCCCTCCGGACTTTGCTTTAATGTGTTGAAACTTGAATTGGACATTTTCACAGGCTAAAAGAAGCCCTGCCCATCACCTGACTAATGGAGAGTGAGACGGAGATCAAACGTCGCCACATCACACGGAGGGAGTCAGACGAGTTCCTTCCATTTAATCTTATCTAAATGAGACAGACACATAAAAGGGCTCTTGGCCAGGCTAATTTTCTCCATCAGGACGTTAGCCTGTGATCTGAGCGTCTTTCATGGTCTTATCCCAATCAGACACTATGGTGCTCAGCAGTCTGCTCCCCATAAAAACCCCTCCATCCACTTTCCCTACAGGAGAGGGGAGGGAGAACTTTGCCTTTTTGAAAGAAGCCATGCCCTTTCTAATTCACTTTTATAAGTAGGTAAAAGCTATTGTATTTATTGAACAGATACAGTATATAGTTCATACAAACAGATCAATCATAGTTTAAAGGCCCCTCACTGCAAGTAATGACGTCATATTCTAAGACAACAACAGCCTGTGCAGAATCAATTTAACTGATTCAAACATACAGCTGAGAGAAAACATCCTCAATAAACTGAAGAAAAGCTCTAAAACACAACACGCCTTTAACTCCACACTTCCAAAAAGTGGATGGTTGAAGTCAGCTAGTATTTCACCAATTCAGTCATATATTGAAACACAAAATTAACATATGTTCCGCTTCCCGGACACAAGCTTGAAACCTCAAGTTAAATAATGAATAATATTTCAAGACAAGTCCTAATGACCATTTTTATAAACAGTAAAATCTGAATTAAATATGGCAGCGGAGGGCCTGTACTCTCTCTTACACAGAGCCCTGGTGTATATTAAGCTCTCTTTACTACACTTACAGTGCTCTCTTTCTATTATGCTAATGAGCATATCAAGCCACTGGGCTCTGATTTGCCTTTCCTTGTTAATTGGAATGAAAAACCCTGAGCCGTTGCTAACATTGCTTTGTTGAGCCCCTGTACGAACAGGAATCAGAGGACATATCCCAGAGCCAGCTCTGATGACTGATGACTTAGTGAGGCATGTTGACAGACTTATATACATGAATGTGTATACACATGCACCTGAGCAGCACATGAGCTCTCAGTTGAGATGTTTATAAAGCAGGACAAGTACATACAGTATATTTATGTTTTAAGCACCATGTTTAAATACAACAATTTAAGGATCAGACATCACGCTAATGAGCCACCAAGCCTAACTCTCTGCTTTCCTCTTCCCTCTGTGGGAGTTAGACCTCAGGTTCAACAGCAAGGAAAAGTGTGTGAAGAGGAGAATAAGAGCTGGAGAGAGAAAGCGGGAGGTTCCTCATCTTGTGGTGTTTTATAAGTGCATCTTTTTGAAAAGTCAGAATGGACAGCTCATGCAGACTGATGCAAGTACTCAGCAATGTCTTTGGCTCTTTATGATAGTGCAGCAGAGAAAATACGATGGGCGATCAGTCATGATTCAGTGTGAATCCAGTTCCACAGTCAGGTTCAATGTTTTCAGATTAATAAAAGAACATCAAAACAGATTGCTTGAATACATTTTTAAGTGCCATATGCAGCATCTTCAGTGTTAAACCAAAATGTTTTTAGGTCAGACTTTTCATGAGAGAAGTTCAGTCACCAGCTATAACCTGGAGGGGAGGGAGGGGCAGCTGTCTTTCATTGCTCAAATTTAAAATGTGATTTCAAAACAGAAGGTCGGAAAAACTTCTCATTCCAATTTTTATTATTGACAGAAATCTGAGTCAAATTCTGACGTGTAGTCTGATATTCGGATAGAGGCTAAATATGTATCCATGTCAATATTTTGGTTAAGAAAGCCAAAAACTCACAACTTGTTAAATATTAAAGGTCAAATACATAAGATATCTACTGAGTCTGCAACATAGCATCCTGTGTGCACATCTAGAGAGGAGGGGGAGACAGCTCTTTCCAATGTTTTGAATTTGGACTGCAGTACCCATTTTAAATGCTAGGTGTCAGAGTTATATTGCTCTTTTAAAGTGTGTGAACTGTAGCCGATATTAAGGATCGTTCAGCAACATTAGGCATACAACAACAAAGCTGAGGTATTACTGACAACATGTCATGTCCAGTTTACTGGTGTCAGCTTTATAAAACAGTGTTAAAGAACAATAAATGCAACAGTGTATGGAATAATATGCTCACGCATAATACTCTAAGTTAGATAGCCATGTTAAACAAATCCACTTTGCTTATGAATTCATTCAGCCACTATCCCTTAAAGACAGTTATTATGTTGTATTCATACAAAAAATGCATTACCATGTCCCAGTGCATGATAATGATCAAATATCTAAGCTGGGATCATTACCATGCTAATGTTTTTTTTATTTTTTTATTTTTTTTTATTTAGTCAAGTAAATATTTAACAAACATAATATGCAGTGAGTACCTGTGATGAGCTGCAACAGGTGTGGAACTGGATCTGTCCTTTAGGTGACCGACAGCCAAACTGTCATCAGAACAGCCACCCAGCTCTCCTGTCACCCACTCAGGAATACCTGCTGTGCTGTGTTCCACAGCCCGACCAGTCAGTGGCTCATCATAGTAGATGAACTGCAAATCAAAATTCAAAGATAGGAGACATAGATTGTGTATGGGTCTGTCAGTATGTGATGCAATGCAATGATATTCAATTAGGTGCAACTGCTTTATAGTAAATCTTTACCTTGTTATTTCTAACAGCTGCCTCTTATACAGTATTATCAATTATACAGTATTTTAAAAGATTATTTAAAAAAGGCACAAAAATTGCTTTGAACCATTAAGTTGTGGCACTGCTAGATTGCAGAAAAAAGCCTCACCATGTAAGTCGGGAGCGTCTTGAGGCTTCCAGGTTCTGGTTTGCTGGTGAAAGGCAACTCCAGGACCCCTCTTTTAAGCATGTTGAGGAGCAAACGGGCATACTTGTTGCGGTTCTCACGACTTATCAGACCTGAACCACAAGAGGCTGGATCACACAGCTTCTTGATCCATATGGCACACCGCTGGCGCTCTGAGGTTAGAAGGAGAGAGAGGAATTAGAAATTATGTTACAGCTCAATATACACTTCAATGTATAACCTTGACGGTTTAAGTGCTGGGTGTTGTCTAAGCATATACATTTGCATAGCATGGAGAAAGACAAGCACAAAACAAAGTGTGCTAGCAGCTAGTATGTTTACTCTTTGGAGACTGAAGTAATAATGACATCTCACCTGTCTTGTTGGGGTGTTTAAGGACATATGGCTTCATGTCAAGAAGACATTGGTCAAAATCAGTGTCCAGCCTATCCCATGAATCCCCGTGTTTGCTCATGGTCTCCTGCAGAAATGAATACATGGTTAAGACGGATGAAGTATCTCCCAATCGTTGCCAGGGTTACTAGCCTATAGAGTGCCTATAATGTTAAGTTGTCGCCCGTAACTAATACAAGAAATTACAGATAGACGGGGCTGTATGGAACATATAGACATGGTGTCACGTAAATTTAGCTTAACATAACATGAAAACTACTTCAAACTAACTAGAGAATCAAGATGCTACACCGAGTCAGAAGCTAGCACAACACACATTAGCAAACAAACAAAAGCAGACGAGTAGAGCGCTAGTGGAGTGTCGCTGCTCCTCATAAACATCCTAGAACAAACGAAGAACACGCTTGATATGAATAAACGAGGAGAAATAAGAGGAAATAGAGACTTACCCTGAGCACTGATTCCGCCGCTCAAAACGGTTCAAAACTTCAACGTACTTGTTCTACGCCATATCCGCTCTCCGTGGCGACGCTGCTGATCTTGTTGTCATAGTTACCGAGCATTCGTTGCGTATCTTTTTTAAATTGCATTCAAACAGTAATTTTTTTTAAATTTATTTATAAACTTCCACCAGGAAAACATTACTTTCATTATTACATCTAAATTCGTTTTGAACTTTAAAATATTTGCTTCAAAATAAAATTGTCTGTGTTTCGAAAATGTAAAAAAAAACAAAAAAAAACAAAGAAAAGCTGGAGGCGAATTAAAAATATGTAGAAAACAAATAAATAAATACACAACATAAGAATGAAAATTCAACGCCCATCATTTGCTCTTACATGCCCGAAAAGGAGTAGGAAGAAGTTATAACTTATTTTATCCTACCCTTTTAACTGAATAGGTATTAGTTTGTATTAATTATACAAAAGTATAATATATATTAAATAATTACTTGTAGGCCTTTGCCATTATCTAATTACACCAATAATGCATATTCCAATCACCATAATATAACTATGTAGCCTACAGTGTACCATCACCAATAAATACAAACCCCACAAACTAATATATTAAACCAGAAGTAAATGAATAGGCCTATTTACAAACACACCCAGTGCTTGTAATCAATAATCATATAGCCTAGGCTATTCAAACGAGTGTATGAGACAGAAAAATGAGAGAAATTAAAAATTGGCATTCGACTGTTTTATAGCTTATTCTGAACCTGAAATGTCGTTGAAAGTCCACACGATGGCGCAATAAACCTTGAGTTTGTTGTATGAACGATGACGAATAGATGCATTTTGGGCGTTAGTTCATTCATCGTTGCAGAAACAGGTAAGGTCAAAATGTATGTGCATATAAATCTAAACATAAAGCTGGAACATGTCGACTGAATCAGTAGATGTTTCATTCATGTGTTCAGCCATAGGCCACTTTATCAGAAGAACCACTTCTGACGTGTTTTTTTTTTTAAATTGGGAGCTTAAAGTGAGGGGAATATTTCCCACAGCTCGTGAAGGCGGACTTCATGACGTCACGGTGAATGAAAAAGAAGCGCTCAGCTGTAGTTCAGGCAGAGGGGAGGCGTGCGCCGTGTCAGGAGCTGCCCCAGCACCACTTGTCAGGAGCTGTGAGGAGAACAGAACCTCTCATATCGGACAAACGGAAGTTGTGGCTGTGTTTTTTTTCTTTTGTTTTTGTCTTCCCATTATGGCTGACCATCTTTTACACTATAGTGACTCAGCTGGGGTCGGGAATCGGTTCGCCCGCAAAGGTGCTTTGCGCCAGAAAAACGTGCATGAGGTGAAAAACCATAAATTCACAGCAAGGTTTTTCAAGCAGCCGACCTTCTGCAGCCATTGTACAGACTTCATATGGTAAGTATTCTTGATGCACAGCTGTCTTTGGTGCAGGCAGCTTTTCAGTCACTTTCACTGGTCAGATGGCAGAATAACGTGACATGCTGAAGCAGCTTATGGTTCAGCAAGTTTAAAAGCATGCACCTGATGTTTGCAAATGGCGAAATATAACTGTCTCTACGCTAATTGAGCTTACCAAGTGCACTCCTATTTATGATACAGAAACAGCCCAGACTTCATGACTTGCATTACAAGCTTCTGAAATACTTCCTTTATTGACAAACTAAAGCAAGCTTTGTACTGAACACTGTTTTTTGTTGCAGGGGATTTGGGAAACAAGGATTCCAATGCCAAGGTAAACCTCTTGCTTGTGTGTTTTGGTTCATTTGAGGTAGAAGCACAATAGGCTGTAGTCTTCCATCACTGTTAGTCAGTTTGAGCAAAAGGGATAAGAAAAAAGGCTCAACTCAAGGATTACATTTTCTCCCTCACTGAAAGCAGAAAAACTCATCCGTTCAGATTTCTTTGGCATGTGTATGTAGACTCAATTAAAACCAGATTTGACAAAAAGTTGTAAATTACATGAAAGCCCACACAAAACAGTTCAGTTTTAAAAGTTATACTTTTATCTTCCCATGGAAACAGTCTCTGGTTACCCAGAAATCAGGATACAGTTTTTCGCCAAGGGTTCATGATCCTACAAGAAAGCAGAAGTTAACATTTGCAGGGAAAGTGCTTTGAAACAAAGATTAAGTGACACATTTACCTTATTCATTTTGGTTACCAGTTGGCTCTGAAGGAAGGAAGGAAAAAAAAAAACATGCATCATTTGTGACCAACATTTGTTTAAAAAAAAAAAAAAATCCATCAACATTTATCATTTCACGTCTGATATACCTTTGAGGGTTCTTCACGCCTTTCGGAGCAGCTGCGTTACTGGGTGCAGGACGAGTGACAGCATTCACCATTGAAGGCATCGCAGCAGGAAATTCTGGCGTGTACTTCGAGTGAGTGAGGAGGTACCGGGCATGCAGGTAGCCATTTCTGGACTGGATGATGTAGCTTGAATGAGGTGGGGGTGGGGGAGGGGGACGGGCAAAGTAATTGGCTTGACTAGGACCTCCTTCATAAACAGGGAAAGAGTCTGTATTCCCAGAGGGATTCTCAAGATGGGGAACATAACCAGCATAACCATAATCACTGCTAACTGGCTTGGACTGCCATGTACCAGAGCTTAGAGACTGTGGCGCAGGCTTCTGGTAGGCTGGTCCTTGTGAGGAGTCTGTATTCTCAGAGGGATATTGAAAGACTTCCTCATTGAAAAGATGGGGAACATAACCAGCATAACCACTGCTAGCTGGCTCGGACTGCCATGTACTAAAGCTTGGAGACTGTGGTGCAGGCTTCTGGTAGACCGGGGATTGTGGTTGGACAGGGCCTGACTGAGGCTTAACTGGTTCCATTGGCAGGTAGGGAAAGAGTTTGTCCCGGTCTGTCCCCCAGCCTCCTGATTCAACATCAGAAAGTCCCCCCAGCCCAGGAGCACTTTGTGTGAGCGGCTGATATGGGACAGGATTTGGCTGTTGGTCATAGCGTGTGTGCACAGGGCCTGATAGTTTGTTATTTGAAGCCTGCCAGGTACTCTCATCAAAGTTTGAGGTAATTAACACTTCGTCATCTGCATCGTCGCCGATGTTGTGCATGTCTGTAGATCCGTACCCTGAGGAGTTAACAATGAAGGTAAACTTTACATACTTCTGGAGGACTAAATGTTGTACTAAAGAGACACACACACCACATCAATACTGTGATGACAAAATTAAAGAGTACTTATTAGCCGTTTTGATGTCAACCTGCTCCCCCTCCCCCCACTTAATTGGCAACAATTTTGTTTTCAAGGTAGCGAGCTCGACATCCATTTGACAGCATTTAAATGCTATGAAAGCATGGACATTACACCCAGGCATCAATCCTATGCGTTAAATATAAGCATGTAGAGAGAGAAAGCATTGCCTTACTACACTGAATATTGACTTATATCAATAAATCAGACCCATCTTAATATTGCAAATAGTCACATCACAGTAACAATGATAATTGCACAGCTTTAATAAAAAAAAAGTGATTACTTCTCAGAACTGGTAGAGCAGTACTGCAATCAAATAGAATGAAACAGATGCAGGAAACCCTGCAAAAGAGGCAAAAAGAGGGAACACACTTGATTAAAGTCTCCGTTAAGGTTAATTCAAACTAATTAAGTGCTCAGGAAATCACTAAATGAATAAAACCTACTGCAGAAGGAGTCCAAGAGCCATGGCTGTTAGCTGAGAAGCAGCACCCTTTACTTCTCAGACGCTATGGTTTGAGACAAAGCAGCTTAAGACTGGAGCGTAACCTCTTGACTTCTCGGGAAGCTCGGCATGTCTCTTTTTATATCAGGACTCCAGATCTTAACGAACACCATTAGCAACAGCTGCACACTGAGCAATTAGAAGCCAGATAGCTAACAGGTGTGGCAGCTGAACAACACCTCCCACTGTTTCAATGTAAACGACGTCTCTGCACATATGATTGTGTCCGTACTAGAATACTTTCTGATTAACAATTCTTTCATTTGAAGCGAGTATATTTTGACTGAAATTTCTGACATGAAGTCAGGATGCCTTGCGCGCCCTGAAACAAACACCCTGAAGTTGCTACAGTGTAACATTTCCCTCCAGACATCTGATACTGTGGCGGCTTACAGGGGAGAAAGGGAAAGGGTGAGGAGTGAGGGAGACAAAGATGAAAACAGGAAGAGTTATAGCAGGGATTGCCGAGGTCAAAGTGAGGTTAGATTGCCGGTAAGGTGCTTGGAAAATGGAAACAAATAACACGATCTAACACAAAAGAGGAACTATCGGATAGGGGAAGATTAAATTTACCGAAATAAAATGTAATGCCAGTGACAAGATTACAGCCACTAAGCTTAACGTGCTGTTGGTCTGCAGGGCTTGATCATCAGTGTCACTTTCTGTGAGGGACATTTGATCCTAGGAGATTGGAATAAAACAGGATATGTGGTGCTCGTGTTTACGATATGCAAAAAGATTTAAAATTCATATCCCCTTGTTTTCATGTCAGGCCGCCCATTTGCGTAACTGTTGATAAGTGCAGTTTGACCATGAATGCATCATACAGTACTGGGCTGTCTGATGCATGTTCCTCCATGCACTCACAGTGCCTCTCCTTGTAAGTGCACGTTGCTTTTTTGAGAACCACATAGAGGTTTAACCCCCAGAGGACTTGATGCACACACAGCTCTCTCTCTCTCTCTCTCTACTTGGGATGGATGCTTAATGGCTTTTGTAAGTATTGACAGCATTGTGAAGACACTGGATTTGCAAGGGGCCGCAAGACTGACAGCACAGAGAGATTTTGACTCAAATATTTATCAGTTAGAGACATTCAATCCATGATTTTATTTCTTTCTGTGAAGCAAACTTAGCTGGTTACTTCTCATGCATAAAGCTCCTAAGATCTGAATCTCTATGTAATGCATTTTCAGAGCTGGAGTATTCATTTAAGAAAACTTTGACATTGACAGTGATTTACTTGTTGCATGAGGTGAAAATCCTGCATGTGTGAGGCGGAACACTTGGCTTCTAAGAGTCTCAAGAAAAGTGCTAAAGCATGACTCATGTGATCATTCATGTTTATCCTTTTTCTCTGCATGGTTGATATTAGTTTATTCTTTCTTAGGCGTAGGCAGACAAAGGCCCGTCCAAAGCTCCCTGCTGTGCATTGAAAATCCAGCAGCTTTTTTTCCCCCTCCTTCTCCTGTGATCACCCACCTTCGCCTCACAACAGCGAGCAGCAGAGCGTAGAGAGCCATGACTGTGGAAACATCTTTATTACTAAAGGATCTTGTGTGGGTGGAAGGCAGAGCCCCTGCTGCTCCTAGGCTGGTGACTGCTGTACCTTTTTATTGTTAAAGGTAAAAAAAAGGTGGTGTTGGGTTCTCCTCGGTTACATATGTAGGTTGCATGTTAACTGAATAAATCACATAATAACACATTCTGTTCCCTTTATTCACAGGAAATAACCCTGTCATTTGAAAACTCCCTCTTACATACAGTACATTGGCTGGTGTATTTAATGCACTTGCCATCTTCTTTGGTTGGCCGTGACACGGTCCACTGTGGAGAATCTGTGAGAGTGAGACATCCTGTCATATGGACATGCTGGGTTATATCCTATACTCCCAAACGCGTTACACACTCAACTTGGACGTCATTACACCTCCGTTCTCTTCTTCTTCTTTGGCTTTTCATGTTATATATTTTCACCCTAACGGTCTCCTTGTAAGCTGGTCTGTAGATTAATTGAATCAAAAACAGGGGCTTAAGCTGTTCCATTAAGATAAGGCCCTGCATCAATCATTTGAGATTTTTAAGATTCACTCTAAATTTTTATGTAAAGTGTTCAAACTTCTAGCTGATTATCTGAATATTTGCACATTGGATTTTAGTTCTGTAGACTTGTATATCAAACAAACCTAAGAAATTAAAGTACAAAATGTATAAATAACCTCAAATTTGGAATGTAGTGATGTTATCTGCTATCTGCATGCTTTTCAGTGTTACATATATAGTATATACATATATAGAGGGTCTTACCTTTCCAATGGACACACATTGACCTGCTGGTCTTGCCTAATCCAAATGGATTCTTTTTAACAATCCACCCCAGAACGTCTTCCTGAGGATTTAGGCTCACAGTTTGCTCAGTCTGTGTGGAGCACAGCCCTAAGGTCCTTTGCTCCAGTGAATTAAGCCTATTGCAAAAATCAGATATTTGTCAGCATATTAAAAATGCTTCTTGGAGTTAGTATAAGACATAAATTTGACAAATGGAAAAAAAACAACTGATCAAAATGATGTATTAAGGAACCACAACACCTTACTTCAAACTAACTCACATCTTAGAATAAATCCAAATGTGATGAGTTTAAGTCAACACATCGCCACTCTGAGTGTATTCACTGAAATCAAATGAAGCAGAAATGAAAAGTTTTGTTAAATTTATGCACAGCAAACAGATGGACAGAGATTCAGCACTTGCAGCTTCTTGTGACTAAATTGCAAGTCGTATTTTACTTCAGTTTTTGACTCGAGAAAGTCTGAGACATGAACAGAGCTTGATTTATATCAGAATAGGCCAATACTAAAAAAATGATGTCTGCGTTTAATTTAACAAAATTCTTCCCTTCTTAAAGGCAGAGTTGTGCAGTATCACCTGCTCTCTGAATGTTTCCTCCAAACATCAGATCATCTCATCGTAGACAGTCTTGTAAGAGTGCTGGATCAATTCCCATCGCGGTGCATGCTCTGCTCCCATCGTGTCCTCCCCCCATGTCCTCCCCCATCCACACTAGCCTTTGAAACGGAGCGGCTGTGGAAATGACTGTGCCATCTGTAGAGTTGAGAAGTCATCGCTTGGAGGAGAGCGCTACGTCAGTACACGAGAAAGAGCATGGATGGAGGGAGAGGCAGTTGGGGGAAAAAAAGAAGTGTGTAAAAAGAGTAGAGAGTGTAGGAAGCAATAGAAGAATACAAAGGGGAATCTGTACGTACAAGTCTAAATAAACACAGAAGGATTTGCAATTACATGGGTGGAAGTGAGAGGCAGAGAGCGGTGATGAAGTCAAAGAGGCCTCTTACGCATTCTGGCTTCTTGCTGCAGAGATTTGGCAAAGATAAAGCAAACAGTGTGAGTACTCCGAGCACATGAAAGAAAACATGGTGGATATTATGTGAGAACTGATAGCAAACTGGCAGATTACATCAAAGTGGGAATCTTTTAGACTGAAGGATCAGTTAACCTGTAACTACAGCGTGTAGCCACAGTGTGGGCGAAATGGCCAATATGTAAGAACAGTATTGAAATGCTTTGTAATCATTGTTAAGGAGATATGACAAACTGGTGGCCAGCAGTTACAGAGCAGGCTTTACATACATTTTAAGTTGTAATATTGTTGACCCAGCATGTTTCATGGTCCAGTATTAGACACTAAACTTGTATTATTTACTGTTCGTGGCATGCTTTCCATTAAAATTATTGGATGTCTGTTGTTAAGTAATGGAAAATGCTAATACTGAAGGAACATTCGTTTATAATAAGAGCTCAACAGTGATGATCCACTTTTTTTCGGCGGCTCTTGGTCCAAAAGTAAAATTTCCCTATTCAAACCCTCCATTGACATTTCAGAAAATCGGGATTTTTTGAATCCTGCAACTAAGCCGACCAGCTACCCGAATACTTGTGACTATAAAACATTTTATTCTGCACAAAAATGTATCATTTAGAGAACAATCACACAGATTTTGGAAATATAAGCTGAGTTTCTTTCAAGTCACATCCAATCAAACACCACCTACAAGTCGTACTAAATCACACTTGATCTTTTTTTTTTCCATACCAGATTAAGTATAAAGCTAGGATCAGAAATGTTCTGATGTTTTGACTGTGCAAGAGAAGGATTTGATAGAAACACATAATCCTTACGATAGACTCTTAAAGGAGACCAAACAAACAAATATCCTCAAGTTCTCTGGGAAGTAAAGGCACTAACAAAGTATTTAAATGTGACTGACAGTCTGTATGAAACCATCTCCTCTCACTGCCTTTGAAAATATTCATGACTTCTCATGCATGAAAACAATTCAGTTGATAGAATCTTGCTGTTTGTTTGCTCCCACTGCTTCTGCATCATCTCCGTGTTGTTTGGGCTTCCTCTGATGTCCGCTCTCTGCTTCCATGGTGACATCTCCATAACTGTAACCCGCCCAGCATGTTGTGTTTTTAAATACATTTGCATACCAAACACGGCCAATTTGCCTACTCTCATTTCAACCCAGGGCCTATTTACTGCTCATCAAGCGGTAATGATGAGATCTTTATCATGTGCACAGACGAGGGCGTCATGTGTGGGCTGCTCTGCCACACTGGGGGACATTTGTTGACCCCTGTGGGCAACATCATGTATGTGTCAGTTAGCATGACGAGGGCTGACACATGCCTCCAACGAGAGAGCCACTGATCCCTAATGGCGAGCGTAGGTGTAGAGCTCAATCACTTCCTCTGCTCGGAATGGGGCTGTGGATCTCATTAACCAATCAAGGAGCAGAAGTGTGGGGGAGTTGGAGAGCGAGAGCTGAGCAACTCCTGATGAGGAGGCCCAAAACAATGAACATCTTACACAACAACACGGCCGGCTGAGACGCGGCGCCCGCTCCTCTCGGGTGACGGCGTTCAGATCTTGGAGGGTTCCTCCTGCTACGCTCTGTGCTGGGTGTTAAGATGGCCTGGATGTGTTTCATTAAATACAATTCATTAAATCTCTCTTTGGTTATCTAACAAAGCAGATGTATGCCTC